TCTATGCATTATGAAGGTCCATTGCCCAAAACGTCGCATGTATTTTAAGGTAGCGTTATTGATGAATGCTGAGGGGGGTTTTGTCATTTGTGCTTGAACACAACAGTTTAACACGGAGCATTTCGCGACCAATATCTACACGACACGGCCAACTATTACTAACTTGCCTTTTGCCCGTCCTAGGACGGAAGCTGTAATATTAAAGATGTACATTTACGTTTTCTTTTGTGATTGTAATTTTTTTTAGGAATTGTTGCACATAAATACATTTTTCCTAACTTAAAAAATGGAATTAAGGACTTTGGAATATTTCTCGGTCTACGATATTTTGTGTGAATGTCTGATCACTGTTCAAAGGTTTCACTGCAGTTGACTGTCCTTGATGCACACTTTGATCTGCTGAGGATTTTTAGATCTAGGCAGAGCCACGTACAACTGTCCATGGGAAAATTCATTGAGATAAATACCCACATTTTCAAAAGTCTGACCCTGGGACTTGTTGATCGTCATCGCATACGCAGGAATTATCGGAATTTGTCGTCGTTTCAGTACGAAAGGAAGAGTGACATCACTTAGAGCTAGTTCGATTCTCGGAATGAAGACGATTTCGCCTCGGTTGCATTCCGATACAATCTCTGTGATGATGAAGTTATTTTTTAATAATTTGACCATCAAACGCGTTCCATTGCCAAGACCGTTCTTCGGGTTCAGATTTCCCAGCAGCATGATGATGACGCCTGTCTTCAGTGCCAATGTGTATGGCGGCATTCCTGAAGGCGTTTGATCATGAAGAAATTCTAGAGGGTGATTCAATGCGTCTGCAGGATCTTCCGACACGATCGAGTCAGACCTGAAATAAATTCGGATATTTCTAGACAGCTACTGTATGATTATGTGTGTCCTTGTTGGTCGGTGCCAGAATCGCTCTCTTCGCAAGCTCTTCGGCAGGCGTGCGTTGCAAGTTCTAACCGTAAATTGCGGTGACCAGATCATCAACCGTTATCATTTGAGGTGGAATTTCAATGGAACCTAACAGCACTCCACATATCTCGGGCAAAGTTCCCAATCCAACTTTCAGCAGCCAATTGTTATGCTCATTTTGACCATTACTCCGAAGGTTTGCCGTGAGAGTCAATTTGGTAAACTGCTGCCATAATACGCTGGATTTGATGCAGCACTCGGTGACATCAACACGGGTGCCTTTTGCTACAACCGGCAAAGTCTGTCTGAAGTCGCCACCGATTACAACGAATTTTGCACCAAATGCCCGTTGAATCTGCATGATGTCGCGCAGCAGCTGATCGATGCATCGAAGGCCATGCTTTGTCAGCATCGTAATGTCATGAATGATGATGAGCGAAGCTTGTCGTAGCGTTTCGCCTTCTGGCGAATTCAGTCTCATCGACAAGAAGACGTGTCGAGGAGGGGAACTGGAAGCTTGAATCCGCTGTGCACAGTTCGTCCGCCTTTCAGTAAAGTCGCTGCGATTCCAGTGGTCGCAAAAGGAAGAGCGATTTGACCTTTTCCACGAACAAATGAGAGCAGCGCGGAGTACAAAAAAACTATTTCCAGAGCCGCCAGGACCATCTAAGTAGAAAAGTCTGTTCTGGACATGCTCATCGTCGACAGCTCTCATTATTGCTGTGAAAGCTTCAAACTGTTTCCCATTAGGGAGAAAATTCTCGTTTCAGCTTCTGTTCTTCTGCACTGCGTCGTATAGCTGAGCTTCGATTGGATGTCCTATCAGTTGCGGAATACCAATTGATGCGCAGGACAATCCATGTTGTTTGAGAATTGCGTTGATGTCGTGCAGAGCCATGTTCAATGCAACATTTTCGTCATGACGCCGTAGATAATCCAGCGACATGTCAAGTGAATGCTTGTTCCACAACTCGCCAGCGTTTGTTGGCATACAGAAGCAGCAAATGTACGCAAACGTCTGTCGCATTTGATTCGCCATTTAATATGTCGCGGACTCCTGCATGCATCATTCTTCATCTGAATCCAGCAAATGACGATGAAAGGCAGCTTCCTTGAATGTGGTGTAAACGACGCCATCGACGGTTCTGAGGAATTCAAAACTGGTAGCGCCTTTGACGTGCAGCAAGAGCATCCTAAGATAGAATTGCTCCTCATCTTTGATCCCAACAGTGTACAATCTCGCAACGATCTTAGTGCCTCCTCTTTGTCGCTGCTTTCAGTTGTTGTTGACATACACATAATTGTAGGGAATGCCGTTGTAGAGAAAATCTTGGGCGTTTGGATCAATCATGTTTAGCTGAAACCAAGATTCGAGCTTAGTGCGAACTGTTCGTGCGGCTTCCAACGCCTCTTCTTCTCGACCTTCTTGAAACACAACACCTTTATGATTTGGCAAATGCACGGGCAATCTAATCACGGCATGCGAACGATCGTGCATCGGCGACTCGAGCAAACGGCACATAGCTTGTGGTGCACTCGCGTATCTTGCGTTGATGAAATCTGACAGCTCGTCGTGTCGAAGTTGAGGAATCTCGCCGGCAGTGGTCGTCATATTGGCACAGCAGTCGAATCGTTTGTAAATATATTTATAAATATATTTCACAGCTCTTAGTGATGTGCATACTTGGACGTTGATATGACCATTGTACCTCAGCAGCAGATAGGGATTGTACGGCACCACATCTGTTATCCATTGACGATCCACGAGCTTCTGCTGAAATTCCTTGTCGCTGACGATACAGAGGATATCCGTTCACATTGTGCGCTGCCGTGGTAGCAAATTGCTTCTGGAACGCCTTTGAGCACTTTCCATCTTGCATGCAGGCTGCTCGAGGATTTCCAGCTGCGTATGGGCCATGCATCATAGTGACAATTTCGTGCAACCTGGGATTTTCAGTCGCAATGGAAATTTCAGCAGATACAACTTGATCAATGCGCTCAGAGCTCGTGAATGTATCATCAACTCGCAATGTCATCAGGATGTGTGCGTGAGGCAGTCCGCGTTTCTGGAACTCGATGGTGTAGACGAAAGCCGTTGAGATTCCCAGAACACCATGCACAGCGAGATCCTGCATCAACGATTTCAGTTTCAACTTGAAAACACGTCGATCAGATGCTTGTTCACCTTGATGCAAATTGTTGGTGATTTCTTGCCACCTTGGATTTGCAGTGAATGTGATGAAGAGATCGGGAGCGCCTTGCTTCGCGAAAATTGACGTGGTGTCCGCGCTTTGCTCTTTCATGTTCCGCGGTGAACCTTCGAAAGATGAAGTCAGACTAACGGGAACTCCGGCTGGTCCTGCAGCCGCTTGAGAGGCATTCTCCATGTGATCGGCAAGTCCTTGATAAAGCTCAACTCGTAATTTCTGCTGATGTTGGCGAATGTAATTCAAATTATTCACTTCAACCTGCAGGTACGAATCGACAATCCACTGTTGCGTGAGCTTTCCAGCACTGATTCATGGGTTGAATGTGCCTCTGATCGCAGTTAGCGCTGCAACATACTGTAATTTGGTGACAATCACTCTTGTTGCACTGACTTGAGCTCTAGCATAAGCCTCACATTGCCAATTTGGTTGCCATCCAGTTTCACCCAACGGATACAACAGCGGAGAGGAGATTGCCTCCAAATTTGAGCTCAGAATGTTGAGATCAATGAAAGGCTGTTGGGAGTTGTCTGGATTCTTCGTATACACGCGAATGTCACATTCAAAGGGCGGCTCATCATCATTGTTCACAAACACCAAAGCGTTCTCGTTGGGAGTTGGTGCATTGTCGCGACGCCGATCTGAATGACGATCTCGCCCAAACACCAAATTCACAACTCGCGTCTCTCGCCTGCAGAATTTGCTTCCTGTGCAGCTCAACGTTGTACTTGGCGAAGCATGGTGTGCTGTGTGTTGGCGAGTCGATTGTGGATTCGATCGTAGTGGTCGATTTGATCCAGAAGCCGTGGATTGCAATGAGCGTTGGCAGGATGATTCGTTTGGATTTCTGTTGCTTGTGTGCTGTCGACAACATCAAGTTTAGCGTATTGTCTTGCTTGACCGTTAGTTGGTTGAAGATGGCTTGTCTTGTGGTAAATTTGGCCATGAACCTTGAACACGTAAGGACCGCCTCCATGAAAGTCAACAACCTTAGCCCCCATTGATGCAAACGACAATGCGCTGTTGGATGAACGAAAATTGTCTAGTTGGGATGCTCAGTCGATCGGCTTAACAAATTGGCACGTTCTGTTTGCTGACAAACCTTACAAATTGGCTGTGTTGAGTGGTGGTGGGTTTAATGACAACGCAGAGTGACCAAATCATTTAACTTCATCGACATGAACGGCCAATTCGCAACCTGTCGCTGTTGTTGTGATCGAAACGTCGTCGTTTTTTCATTTCATTAATTTTTTTTATTTTTTCTATATTCGTGACTTACCGAAAGAAAGAACCAAGAATATTAATTCCTGCAGTCGCGAAAGTTTTAAGTCAAAATCTAAAATCGTTGCCTACGTTGGCTACTTTCAGACGTCTTCTTGGTTCTTTCGGTAAAGTCACGTAGAAGGGACATAAAATAATAATAATTAAACATAATAAAATACAATTCTCACGACGTTTCGGCCACAACGCAAGCAGCCGTCCTCAGGTGAAGAACAGGTCTGTCTTTCTGACAGTCTTTCCGACAGACCTGTTCTTTACCTGAGGACGGCTGCTTGCGTTGTGGCCGAAACGTCGTGAGAATTGTATTTTATTATGTTTTATTATTTTATCATGTCCCTTCTACGTGACTTTATCGAAAGAACCAAGAAGATGAATCACTGCAGTCACGAAAGCTTTAAATCGAAATTTACGTTCAAACGGTGAACGTTGCCACGTCATGTTCATTTTGAGTACGTGATGACGTGCCCATCAAAAGCGTTCATTGCACGTTGCGCAAGAGCACGCCAGTTTGCGTAATGACGTCATTGCAAGCGTACGGTGGAAGTGACGCAATGACGCACGTCCCCGGCCCCTACTTGTGAGCCTGAGAAACCCCGCGCCTCTCTCTTTTGCCACCATGGCGGACCGCTTTCAGAAGGTGCGCTCCGTGCGGCATAATCTCACTTCGTCGTTACGCTGTTGCTTGGCTCTATGTTTGCTTGTTTGTGGCGTGTAATGTTCTCGTTAACACGTAGATTTGGTGGCAGTTATATCTAGTGGTTTAGTTTTTAATTACTGCGCGAAAGTTGTGTTATTGATATGGCATGTGAGGCCTTGGCCTGGTTGAGGCGAGGCTCCGTGCCCCTCACGTGGCCTTAGGGTTACATTGTTTTAAAATAGTTTGTAAAATACTCACAGTGAACTAGCATGGTGAATAGTTGTGTTTGTGACGCTCACTGTCGCGTGTAACTGTTTGCGTGCCCGTAGTCTGTAGTGTGCTAGCGCCTGGAGGTGGTTATAGTTGTAAGTTCTGAATTGTTTAAGCGGCTTAAGACTCGTTGACTACATCGGGTTTACATCCTCGCTAGCCGAGTAATGGCATGCTTACACACTGGGATTTCGTGTATAAGCGGGTCACCATCTTGGCGATGTGGAATTCCCACTGCCGCCTGCTCGGGCCCTTGGGCCGACAGGCGGCAGAGACGCTTCGCCTCGTGTTTCATTTGGGCAGCGCCGGCCCCGCGAGGCCGGCGTTTAATGATCTGGCGCGCGTCTTTAACGTCTCGTCGTCAAGCGGTGTAGGAATCGATGGCCACGCAGCCTTTACGGAAATTAATGAAGCCCTCGTGTAAACTGCATAGTGATGTGGTTTAAGACACTTGGCATCAAGAGTATGAAATAAAATTAAGTGGCTACTTTCACGCTGCGGTAATGTGACGCGCGTGCGCCTCCGCTTTATGTTCGTATCATTGCGTTTTTATCTGAACATGTTGGGAATTTGTTCAATCTCACGATTAAAAACGTAACGTTTCTTATCTCACTTATAACCACGTGAAACCCTTAAGAGTCAAACAAATGTACAGGAAATACCGTGGTAAATGCAATTTGGAATTACGTTGTGGCTCCGTATCTTGCCATTGTTTAATTAAAGTGATGCGACTTTAACGCTCGTGTGCGTACAAATGTACAGTGTCTAATATACAGTACAGTACGTAACCGCGCAGCAGAAGACGGTGCCCCCATGCGTGCAATGACCAACGTGGTTAAGGATGGACATATAATTCCCTTGATCCGTATGCAGCGATTCTCCACTGAATAAACAGGGCCGCACATAAGCACACGGCATGATGAGGGCATTGATGTACTTTCCAGGTGCTTCTGATTGACGGGCGGGGTCACCTGCTCGGTCGTCTGTCGGCTATCGTTGCCAAGCAGATCCTAATTGGTGAGTAATGTACACGCACGCGATTGTTGAATTAAAAATAAAACAAGGCAGCTGATGTATTTTTTTGTTCATTCGACTCGTTGGAGGGCCCAATGAAGTCATAAGCAATCGCGTATAATTTCGGCACTGGACGCCATTTCGTTATGTATACACGAGTAGCTGTTCAGATGTGATATATTCCAATGCTAAGGGTGAATGTAGTATCGCCTTTTTAGTATCGAATTTCGCATTTACCTGTTGCTCCATCAATGATGCATTAAATTTACCTACATTGTTTGACTTAAGCATGATAGGAACTTATTATCTGAGATGGAGCAAAGGCACAGAACAGCAGCGAAACACTTCAGTTCACGCGTGTTCGACTTGTTGTGTGGTTGTGAAATTATTGATAACTAGATGTTTCCTGATGCCCTGAGAGAGAGTCCTTGTTGAACATCGGTCTGTTTATATGGGTGATCGTTGAATGAAAAAGCATGGCGAAAGCGATTGGCCATATAGGTGTAATGATTAACCTGTACCATGAAATTCATTGGTCATAAATTCAGGATCACAATTTTATTCAAGGATTTTTCCTTGTACTTTACAGTATCGTGTGTTTGATTTTTATTTGGTATTTTATTAGCCTAACATTTTTAATATGCCGATTCAGTGGATGCCTCGTGGTAAACATCTATACATTGTGACATGGCAATTGGTACCCATTGTTTTCTGATCACTACTTGTAACCCAACTTTTGAAAGCTAGTCCACTGCCGTATGAAGAAAATAATCACTGCTCCACGAACACATGGATGCAGACTATTACATTTGGTCTGGATATATGCAGCTGTTGATTTTAAGCGAGCTGGTTGTCATGCATAGGAATGTGTCCATCCAAGGACACCGCACATTTTAATAATTATTAATCCCTTGGTGTATCACCATTAAACTTGCTTAACAGCTTAGTGATACCATTGGTCAGAACCCTTTAGTTCTTGGATAGGATTGGCAGTTACTTAAAAAAAACGAAGTAAAACAAATATTTCTGCACTCCAGGTGCGATTAGTGTGGCTGCATAGAACGTTTGATATCAGCATATTGCCTTGGTATTTACTAAAAATGAATTTCTGTCCGATTTAATGTAGTCCTTAAATTGTACTTGCTTGTGTCTGATGTGCAGGTCACAAAGTGGTAGTTGTACGATGTGAGGGAATCAACATTTCGGGCAACTTCTACAGGAACAAGCGTAAGTGAGGACATTCATGTGGTTATTGGCACAGAATCCTAGACAACCGTTTATATGATATTGCTGATTTGGTAAGATCAAACCTTAAGCACTTGTTGATAATTGAGCTTGCTGGAACAACACGGGTCCCTGGCAATGATGATGATCAAATATATTTTTTGAGTTTCACGACCGTGAAATTACTTTAACATGCACTACCATCTGAGCCTGGGCTTGTTTTCAGCATGATTTAATCATGCCTGTACTACATTTACGTGAAACTGCCCTTGTGGTCTGTTTAATCGACACATCTCAACATGATAAATTGCAAGCCGACAATGCATTACACATCCCACAAATGAACCGAGAAAAGCAGAATTTAATTCTGAACAAGATCTTCAGAGAAACATGTCAACACAACCGACATATCCTTCACATTCCCGCATTGCATAGCCATGAAAAGTGCTGCTGCAGTTGACACAGCCATCCAATGAGACGTCATGGATACAACTAGTGTTCAAAGATGCAACAGATTCTAGAGTAGCATGCAGTTTCTTCCTCTTCTCCACAGTGAAGTACCTGGCCTTCCTGCGCAAGCGCATGAACACCAACCCGTCGCGTGGGCCGTACCACTTCCGTGCGCCTAGCCGCATCTTCTGGCGGACAGTGAGAGGTACTGCTCGATACTTGCACTGCTCATTGGCACCGCACCACCGTCTGCTCGCGTGTATGAGAACGTCCAAGTGGCTAACAAGCCTACCTGTAAAGTGGCCTTTTATAGAAGAGTTGGTGGCGATTTTCTTTGGGGTGAATTAACAAAGCGAATTTCCTGCTGTAAGGTGGAGGTTGAAGAACCAGGATTGTTAAACATGTTTGCTGGATGGCATTTTTATGTTAGTACCACCAAGATGGGGGAGTCTGCAGGCTTAAATGGTCCAACATGAATCTGACAGTCTGACTTTAAACAGCAATAGACACTATTGGAATATTTAAATAATACCTTTAACTACATAAAAAAAGAATAAGGCTCTTGAGTTTGTCCTTTTAAAAACTCTACCTCGAATGACTCCCAGCAGGTAACATGAGATATATGATGAATCCCACAATCCTATGGCTCTCACTCCCTGTGATATAATGCTGTTTGCTAGTTGTGTGTGTGAACTTCTTTCACACCGTCTGTAGCCAACCGTGCTAATAGGAGGTGCGGGATCTGAGGTAATTGTGGTGAAGAACGCCGTAGTGCTGCAGCCAATGAGGATCCTTGCTAACCTGACACGTGATGAAAAGTTGCCCATTACGGATCTGGCTTCTGAGGCTAGCAACCGACCACTGCGTTCAAAAGTATTACCTCTTAAACTTTAGTACATTGCTGCATGTGAATGAACTCACTTGGATTTCCTTGGCATTGTATAGGCCATGCAAAGGTGTAAAAACCACATCTGTCGTAATAGTTTAAAACTCAAAGGTTAAGTGTCCTGAAGACTTGGTAGGTTTTTGTCCTGCATGTGTGTCCTCCCGAGTTTGCGGCAGTATTGTTGATCAGCTCGTACATTATTAACACTCCTGTGCTGCGATTGGTGCAATGCAGGCATGGTGCCCCACAAGACCAAGCGGGGCCAGGCCGCACTGGATCGCCTGAAGGTGTTTGACGGGATCCCACCGCCCTATGACAAGGTGCCTACTCAGAACGGCCACATGTTGTGACCCCCGTGATAACGTCGGATAGTTGTGAAGAATGCCATGTTGCTGCAGCTGATGATGAGAACCTTTGCCAACCTGACACGTGATGAAAAAATGCCCATTACGGATCTGGCTTCTGAAGCTCGCACCATGGCATAGAATATTACTGCAGTACTCTGCTGATTTATGTACATTGCTCCATGCGAGGTTGGTATTGTAAGATGCTAAATGTTACATAAGTTGAAACCATAGCCTGGCTTTCTCTGCAGTGAATGGGGATGATTAGAGTGATTAAATTGGGTTTTACGTTTATGCCACGGGTCCTTGTGTATAGGAATACAATTCTAGTTAATATTTTTATATCTACATGACTTTACCGAAAGACCCAAAGAGTATCTAGTTCATGTTTTTTCGGACTATGCTGTTGATTTTCGGATTTCTCTAAAAATCAAACTTGTATGTCAAATGTTTTCAAGCGGCATTGAGTGAATTCACTCGTTCGTCCGAATACTAAGCATATACCATGGTCAATTCCAAGTGTTGCCACGAGGCCAAAAAATAGATGCCATGTTTCAACAATTGATCACATTGTGGGGGTGAATCATTGCAAACATGGTGAATATAATTGAAATAAAATTCTTAACACTTGATGTAAATTGTATTTCTCTTAGTGGTCTTGTGCATTGCACTAATGATTATTGATGGGCTAATGTGACCTGGCATGGAACAATTGTGGATGCATTGTGACTTGACACTGTGGTGTCTGCACAGAGGAAGCGCATGGTTGTTCCGGCTGCCCTCAAAGTCGTCCGTCTGAAGCCCACACGCAAGGTGAGCAGCAGCACAACCATTGTGCTGCATGTGTTGAACTTTACAAATCTTAACGCATACCAAGTTTGATTAGATTAGTGATTGAAATCTTTACAAAATGTCTTCAGCTAGTGCAAGCATGGTACAATGTAGATCTAAAGGGTGGATATGGTTGATATCTCCAGTTAATTGTGAGTTGGGGGACTGTAGGAGTGTGTAGAACATTGAAATACCAGTCGCCATATCTTTGGTGGCCGATTTCTACACCCCAGGCGATGTAATGAGGTTGACAAAGCTTATGGTTGCCTTAAATGTGACCATGCCCTGCTGACAATCGGACCAGTAGTCACCCACGCACCCACTTGGTGCCCCGGAGGCTTTCAATTTGAAGGAGTCGCCCATGAGGACCGTGTGCCCCTTGGTGCCGCGCTGTTGAAGCTTCGATGAGGATCTGTGAGCCCCTGGCAGTGATGCTAACTTAACACTTCTTTGACTTTAGCAAGAGTGAAATTACACTTACATGCACTACCATCTGAGCCAGGGCTCCCAATCACAGAAGCTGAATGGTGGTGTTAGACCACCATATTAATAACTCCCAGCAAGTAACAACTTTAAGAACTGCAAAAAGTGTCTTATTAATGGTTTCATGACAGTTGAGATTTTGGCCACTGCTTAATGTTTCGAAACTCACCTTGTGTGTTGTGGTGACGGTGTGTCCTGTGCATTGTTTGATGTGTTCTGCTTGTTTGGAGTGGTGTGCTTGTGCCTGCCATGGTTGGTGTGTTGTGTGTGTGTGGTGTGCCTGGTGTGAGTGTGTTGCCTGGTATGCTTGGCATGCGCTTGGTGCGTAGTTTGCAGTACTGGCCGCCTGTCCCATGAAGTGGGCTGGAAGTACCAGGCAGTGACTGCTACCCTGGAGGAGAAGAGGAAGCAGAAAGCCAAGCTGCACTACGAAACGAAGAAGAAGACAGTGGTTCGCAATGCACAACAGTCCCCCCACCACACGTTAACCACGCCACTCACGAGAGCGTGTACGTTTTATTTGACGGTACACAACAGTCGTACAGATCCACACGACAGTTGTGATGCACAATAGAGAGCTGCACCCTATGACATAACCATTATAGTGCATGTACAGAGCAGTAGTTTAAGTCTAACATGAATGCCAAGGGTGAAAGTGGTGTTACCCCTTTAAATATCAGTTTGTGAATGCGCCCATGCCGCTCCATCGATGATGTTTTACTTTTACCTACATTGTTTGACTGAGTGTGATAGAAACCTAATTTCTGAGGTGGAGCAAGGGCAATAACAATTACCATTTTAGCAACAAAATTCTGCATGCTCGAAGGCAGTGGCTCTGCATGGGAGTATGCAATGAAATTTCTATTCTACCCCATGGATTGAGAGGGCAAACACGGTGTTACCAAAAACGCCCATGGTAAAACTCGATTCTGATGGTCGACTCAGCTTAATGCAAGTGTTGTGTTTTTGTGTGTTTATGTAGACGCTGCGCAAAAAGCTGAGAAGAACGTGGAGAAAAAGATCTGCGCGTACACAGCGGTGCTGAAGCAGTACGGTGTCCTCATATGAGGTGTTTTGGTCAACCTGTATTGTTAATACATCTTGAGTCAATGAACTGACCTCGTGTGCCTTTTTATTTCATGGTGATCACTGAATTGTCCAACTCAAAACAGTGCTTTGAAGCTTTTAAAAAAAAGTAAAATTTCAGTTTTATTGAGTGCACCCTTTGGGGGTGAGGGGGGGGGGACATTTAGTGTACATGAATAATTCAGCATTGTTGAGAAACTGGCTGCTGGTAAAAACGCATGCCTACCATCCGATTCGGCAGCAGGAAATGGAGATGCCTGATTGGTGGTGAATGAGTAAGACAGCAGGTGACACGTTCCTTGCCTTTGTGCAAAGTGTGAACCCTTTATTGTGATCTTACATCCAACCAAAGCCACTTCCATAGATTTTTCCTGGATTAATGAATGTGGGACAAAAAAACCCAGCATTTTGCTATTTATTTCCAGGGTTTTTTCCCATTCAGATCTGACTAAACATGCACGTATGTGAGTACTTGATACTTCCAAAGCACTTGTACATGAATGTTAACCTGATCCATTCATCAGTGATCGCTTAAATGAGGCATTAAAGTGCTCGGTGCCACTGCAAAAGTAATCTAGAATGAGCAGTTATTAATCGGTGCTTGACATCCATCCTCTTAGGCATGCACTCATGATAAATAGGGACACATGAAAAAATGTACATTCGTGAATATGCAGTGTACAAGCTTTTAAAAAAAAAATCTGATTGTTACACCATACACATCCACACTAGATTTGTAATGATCTTTAACATGAATACCCTTAAACCTCAGTCCCATCCATGGATACAATTGTTTCTGCATGATCCGTGAGTTTCATCCAATGAATAGCTTGGAAATATTGACTCTGAAGACTGGATCTAGGTATTGCATGAGTAACAGGATGTTCCAGGAATAGTGTGGCACAGCTCTTGTCATAAGTAGCTATAAGGACTTGGAGGAAGTGATGAACATGATTATTTTAAACTTTAAGCTTTGGTCGGATATCCTAAGTCACCTTCGTGACTTTACCGAAAGAACCACAAAGAGTTTGATCAAAAGTAATTTTCAATTGTTTTTAATGGGCTTGAAACTGAATTTAGGCTGCAACTTCTTCCATACAGCTCCATTACATCACAATTGGCTTGAAGGATGTCCCAGCCTTAAATCGTGCAAATCCACTTGGAGAACCTCCTGGGCCTGGCAAAGGAAGCTTGAATAGTCTATGTACACCGACTGGTTCACATGACCTACAGCCATTAGAGGCAAGGTTCTACATGCACCACAACAGCAGATTGATGCTTGAATCCTGACACCAAGGGAGCAGGCCTATATTATAAGCTGACCATTAACACAGTATAATGTTTTATGGTATTGCCATGAGGTGAAAACACTTCTCATTGAAGACGTCGAATCCAATAGTCCTGTTTTTTGGCCACTGTTCTAACTTGAAGCTTTTGTGACTGCAGGAATTCATATTCTTGGCTATCAACAAGATTCGTTCATGAAGCCATCCATAGACAATTTCAACCGAGAAGATGGGTACAAACTGAGCAATCATTGGAGGGATGTTATCAACCAGAGTAAAGTCATAACTGGATGTGATCCCGTCCTACCACCTTCAAATGATAGTTATTTTTTAGACTGATTTTACATTAACTGGTTAAAATGTCTCAGCCACCTTCACGCACCGACCAAGAGGTTGCGGCTCTGCAATCTGCCATTAACGTGCTAACCTCTCACATTAACATCTCTCACACTAACATAGCCACCTCAGCCTACCTGCCGTGGTGGCAGGCCAAGCGTGGAAAACCCCACCACCATCGTGATCGCCGTCCACCACTTACATTAACAGCTGCCCTGTCCATGCTGCTGACATTTGGCCTACGCTCATTCAAACCTTTATTAATAGTTTGCCTTTAGAAGCTAACTCCCTTTTCCTGATGACGACTGCTTGTGTTGTGATTGAAACGTCGTTTGTTTCCTTTGAACCTACGTGACTTTACCGAAAGGCCTAAAGAATAGAATCCGGGTGTCCCAAATATACTTCGTCACTTACACCTTTACACATTTAAGGCCCCACAATATGCCCTGCAAAGTGTTGCATGTACTTTTTTTTTAATGAAATGCAACAAACCAAATTAAGTGCAAAAACCTCCTGTCCAATCATTGGTTATTAGGCTGTGGCCATTTACTAAACTTGAGAATCCAGTTAGATCTCAGAAATTCCAGATTCAAACACAGGATCAGAAATGGTATTGAGCCATCTGACAACTGAAAATTACTTCCACTGTACAACCTTGGCCTCATCAGGGCTGAGCTTGCCCCAGTCCAACTCAGGTGGAGCCATGTATTTAAAGTGGTAGCCTTGGTATCACACTGAAGTTGCATATAGAGACAAGCAAAATGTGGTTCAATGACAATCCTGTCAAGAGGTTTCGCACCACCAATTAGCACGGTTGGCTGAAAAAAGGTCTACATACAAATGGTGTGGTGACGCTCTAACCATTAGCCCCATCCCCTTTGCCCTGTTTGGTCCCAAGCCAGATGGAGACAAAGCCAGCGTATCAAGGGATTGTTTACATATCAGCATGACAAACAATTGGTATAAGACGACCATACCGTGACTCTCCATCCTGGCTTGTGCCAGTGGAATCGTTTATCTCCCATTGAGAGACTTAACTGCACAAACTGGGAGCGGTGATGACAATGGAGCGCTCGTCATGGTGCCGTGACGTCCAGGAGGCTGTGGTCATGTGCCGGCAGCACCAGCACTTGCGCAGCACGGCTGGCGTGGTAAACCTGCCCTGCTGCAAACTGTTGCAACCGGGGCACGAGCGGAAGGAGCTGCCCAGCCCAGCCGCTCCACCACTACCCGCGCTGCCCCCAGACCACCGGCTGCGCACACTGTCGTGTCGCTGGGCAACGCCGCTGCTCCACCCGCGTCGTCGTGTTCGCCCTCTCCATCTGGCACTGGGCATGGATGGAGAGGACAGTGCATGGGTTTTGTTATTTTGTATGCAGCCACTTAAAGTTGTTGAATACTAATACAGTAAAACCTTGGATTGCGAGTTACTTGGTCTGCGAGTGTTTTACAAGACGAGCAATTTTTAAAATAAATATTAATTTGATAAACGAGCGAGGTCTTGCAATACGAGTAGTACGTCTACGCTTTGTCTGCTGAGCGTCACGTGATCACAACTGATATACGAGTGCTTTGGATTATAACACGTTTCCGGAACGAATTATGCTCGCAATCCAAGGTTTTACTGTAGAAGTAAAAGTGATTCCTCAACAGTGAAGTGCTGTCTGGGGTTTCAGGTTGATGAGCTGTTTCTGATCGCTGTGGAAACAGATTGGCACTGCCTCTGGGTAACACCCAATTCTAACACTTTCTGTAATAGATCTAGAGACTGCAAAAGGCGTACAGTAATTGCGCCTTGGATTGGTCCTCTGATCACAGCTGGCATCTCTCCTAGACATTACCACACCGCATGTATATTGTGTACGGCCTTGTTTTTTAGAGCAACTCAAAGCCAAATTGTTCTTTATAGAGCAGGACAATGGACAGACACTGTGCATCATACATTTTTTCATCTGTTAGATGGAATTACTGTAGGTCGCATTTTATTTTGCCATCACGAGTTGATTTGCTATAATGAGCCACAGATTTACCCAGTATTTTGAGAACACTGTATTAGGGTTATGGTTGGGAACACTACTGGACATCTAAAACTACTGTACATGTTTATAAAGAGCTTCATAGCTCATTGTATTCCTCCAGTATAAATATTCTGATTCTGACAAAAGGGGTTCCAACGGTCGTGTTAGCATCAGGGCTGGCCTCACCATTGTCTGGGTGCAGAGAGGGAGGGCCGGGTGCATCCTGCGATGGCAGCAACCGCGCCAGCCTCACGTCGGGCAGGGGCAGCTTCCCTGCAAACAGCGGCATGAGCTGCAGCTGCAGGGAGTGGGTGGTGCCTGGCCCGGGCGCGGGCTGCACCAGCCCCGAGCTCTTGCCGCACACGGCCCAATTGCTGCAGTTGTCAGCCACTGCAGGGGGGCAGCAAGGAGAGGTGGATCAAGGAGGACAAATTAAACTCAATCCCGACGCCAGTTCTTCAAAACTACTTGGCTGTACTGCTCACACTGGCACTGACCCTGCTGCTGTTGTAGGTGGCTGTGACCAGACCTATAATGTTAGATGCAGTTTCGTTTTATTTGCATGTGTTTGTCACTGACAAAATACACAGCTTATCTGTACATGTACCTAACTTTCTGGCACCTCTTGCAGCTTTTTTATTTTTCAGGTGTTTCGTTTATGGCCATCAAATACATTATTAGTTGTGCAATATTCCTTAAGGACCCTGTACTGTTCTCTGCAATATTGATGTTTATGTGGTTGCTGTACACATGCACCACAGATCTCCCTTTTAAAATAGCTGGGTAACTTTCTAAATGGGATCCATGTAACAAATCAAACTCAAATTTAATTGCAATACACTCATCCCACTTCCAAGTGGGTGAACTCCAGGCTTATCCTGGGTTGAGCAAATGCCCAAAACTTTGGAGATAATTAAGAGAATATGCAAATATGCAAAAGATTTTGCCCTGACAGCTATTCGTCATATTCTGTGCTAATGAAATAATTCCAAAGACATGCTTTTTCTTATAATCCATGTATATGCATGATTTTCCTCACGTGTTTGAGTTGCATCCTTCAATAAGCTTCATATATAAACAGACCTGTTCCATGTCCCCAAATATAAATGCATTAATATTTAGTCATGGCTTTCCAGACCAATATCCGCCAGCAGTTAAGGATGAGAACTGCACAGGTTTTGACATGTTGGGCCTCATCAGCAGAGTTAGACTTTTTAAACAAATGCCCTTTTCAATTCAAAGAGCTTCAATCGAACAAAGTATCCCTGATAGCTGCGTCGCTCACCTTGGTAGAACAGCTGGCTGCTCGGGGGGTCTCCTCATCGGTGGCAACGCCTCTCTGCAGCCGCGTAATGCTCACATCCAGTGAGCACAGTTCACCCATACGGCATGCGTCAAAGCCAGTAGGTGGCCGCACTTCAGATAGAACCATGTACAGAGTCTGTGGTGCATAGGGGACGGTGTGAGATACCTACAAACAGCATTGTAACACTTCCCCACTGGCACACTCGAGCCGAGCAATAGCGAGGCCCTCGTGGTACAGATGGTATTTCACCAGCTACTGGCCATGCCGAGCCGGAACCCAACAGCAACCTGCTTGCCTCGCAGAATGTCTGTATCTGAATGGGACCTATTGAGTGCTAGGGCAGGGCTAGCGATGTGTATGTTGCATGTGACATCAGTTATGACTCAGTGAGAGAACAGCGTCATCTACATGTGACTCAACTTGTTCATTGCGTGTCAGTTGTGTCGGTGGAATGGCTTCTGCAGTGGAAAAACAACCCGTTGCTTGCTGACCACACCGGGTTGGCTTGGCACAGCCCTGTGGTAAGAGAGCTTTAAGCTAAGTTAACCGTCCTCCACTACTCGCCTACATGTCTAGCAGCAGGCTCAGTGTCCATGAGCCGTCGGACGTCTACACCCCAGGAGACTTTAAGTTCAGTTGACAAGAAATGAGCACTTAACAGTTGAAATTGAAAATATCAACGTTCAAGGTTAATCTAACAATATAAGTAAATAAAGCATCCTGTTAGGTATCGATTACATTTTATTTGTCTAAAATCTACTCGAATTATCTTTAGAGGTATGTAACCTGTCAGCGTATATATGCAAATGTGCATTTAGACGTGCATTGAGAATTCTTATGAATTGTGCATTACACGTGATTTATCATTGCTGGACAACAGGGACGATGATTTTGACTGATGACAACAGCGTTGGCACCCCAAACCATCGTACCTCCGATTAGCATAGTTGGCTTCGTATGGTGCTAGATAAGTTCTACATACATCTTTCATTCCTTACATGAACATCTATTCCAACAAACGGGCTAGATGCAGCCTCTAGGCAACCTACTACTAAATTATAATTTGTGAAGGATAATTTTTTTAATGCCCCTTCTGTTTAACTTGCTCTGTGTTTTATTCACAATCTCCCTGGGAAAGAAAGCTTGCCCCAACGAGCTTTCATCTGGTTATAAAGCTTGCAAATTAATTTAGCCATTTGAGAAGCAACCTAGTAATCAATTTCTAATTGTAATTTGTTTAGCTGGGTGAGAGCCGTTTGAGAATCCCGTGTTTGCAGTTTAGATAAAAAGATGAGAAGCCACTGACATTTTAATTACCAATATCTGTTCATCAAAGTGTGCCAATTAAAATACATGGACTTCTAAATATTTATCAGAACATCCCATAGACCAGTAGGCCTAAATGATATTTCACTGCAGAAATTTCTAAAACAAATTTTTACAAATGAATCCCTAACTTCTGAAGACCATTTCAGGAGGGTAGTGCACTGGCCAATTCCATTATAAGGAGTTATTTAAAATATACAAAAAGTGTTAGTGGTCACTTTTAGTTAATTATACTATTTGGTCTCCTTATTAACTCACTCTGTTGTTGTCGTATCCTCAAATCTTGTAACTCAATTTTTACCTACTTCCCAATGTGGCATCGACTGCAAACTAGGTATACTTATGTCATATACTGATGACAATACTATATTCTATCACAAGCTTTACTACCCGGCTTTGGCCGGGACTTGGATTCACCACGCCCGGCCGCCTTTGTCTCCCCAGTGGCGATGTTCACACACCACAGCAGTTACTCGTTTGAGGCTGAGTCGATCTAGGGGAGGCCCAGGACCGGTTCAAATAATCGTCACCGGTGGTGGCCGTGAGCGGGAATCGAACTCGGGTCGCCGGGTTCGTAGTGCAGCGCGCTAACCACTACACTACCGCTCCCCCCACACGCGCGCGTGCGTCCATAGGTACACATACACGCGTTTGCTGCAGACACCCAACTTTCAGGGTCCGTACGGCAGTAAACGACTCAAATAATAACCAAAGATTCGCGAAGAACGCCTTAGACCTGCAACACATTTGTATTTCACTTTACCCGCGATCAGCAGGCACACTCCGTTACGCTTCCGCACACGAGTCACGTGACAGATGTGACGTCACAGCTCACTTGCCGTGCAAAATATATGCATTATTGCGGTACATTTAATTAAAGCGTGTTTTTAAAAAAGTTTTTTAAATATTACTTATATTGACTAGTTCCTGACTTGAAAACCCTTCACCGTATTGTGTACATACTGTCCCTCTATTATCTTTTTCCTAGCTCTTTCTATTCTTCTGTTTGAGTCCTTTTTCGTGTCTATTGCTCGTCTCTTGTTTCCTAGCTCATAACGTGGGGACATCTCAATGTTATTCGACTTGTTTTGATTGTCGTCTGGATGTCACGTACCCTGGTTCTTGCATTCCCTGTGCCTCTTGCTGTTGAAAACACATTTAAAATATAAACCGGACTCGAATATGAATTCTCATAGTGGTATCTTGCCTAAGGCTCTACACAATCCAGACATAGCCTCCGTCTCACCTTAAAGTCGCTGAGCGTGAACTCGTAGCGGTGCCTGCTGGGTTCAGCGGATGCGGCGGTGGTGGTGGGACCAGGAGGGCCCCCGGGGGCGCTGTTGTCCACGTCTTCAAGGGGACTGTCAGGGCTCGGATGGCCAGCAGACGGGTTGCCCGGGGCTCCCTCCTCCGGCCAGAAACCCACAGAGAAGTGGCATCGCAGTGGTGCGGCTGGAGATGTCGGCAAAAGCTCCCAGATGAACCACATGTTCTGCCCGCCCAGGACAACCTGCAGGAACGGGAGAGGAGGCTTTGTTAAGTCCCCAACATCGACGTCACAACTGAGAAAAGGAGCTTCAGGGATTGCCTGTCCTAACACCAAAGGCAGCAAGCATCTCCCCGATCAAAGAAATGTGGGTCATGTTCATCTCCATGGTGCGGAATCAGTTGAATAAATTCTAAAAGCTTAAAAATGTTTACTATAGGTGCTACATGTGCCAAATGTGTGTGGATGCATGCTTGGAATACATTGAGCGATAAAGAAAAACACATGGATTGGAGAACATGAAAATCAGAGACGTAATATTGATTGTCAAAAGGAAGAAGACTTGGGGGGGACGATGGCTGATGGACAAGAGACTGCTGTTGGGATGGCCTTACTCATTATTACATCTCACATTAGTCTAAACAAAGTCTTGCAGCGCGAACGGACTAAAGAAGCACAGTTGAACAGCACAGAACAAAGGTAACACAGTGGTGCTGTGTGGCGTTCAGATTCTGTTCTATTTCGGATGTATAAAGCCCCCTTTACATTGTGGCTCAGTGGATCTATAAAGCTCCCTTTGCATTGTGGCTCAGTGGATCTATAAAGCACCCTTTACATTGTGGCTCAGTGGATCTATAAAGCTCCCTTTACATTGTGGCTCAGTGGATCTATAAAGCACCCTTTACATTGTGGCTCAGTGGATCTATAAAGCACCCTTTACATTGTGGCTCAGTGGATCTATAAAGCTCCCTTTACATTGTGGCTCAGTGGATCTATAAAGCTCCCTTTACATTGTGGCTCAGTGGATCTATAAAGCACCCTTTACATTGTGGCTCAGTGGATCTATAAAGCCCCCTTTACATTGTGGCTCAGTGGGTCTATAAAGCCCCCTTTACATTGTGGCTCAGTGGATCTATAAAGCACCCTTTACATTGTGGCTCAGTGGATCTATAAAGCACCCTTTACATTGTGGCTCAGTGGATCTATAAAGCTCCCTTTACATTGTGGCTCAGTGGATCTATAAAGCCCCTTTACATTGTGGCTCAGTGGGTCTATAAAGCCCCTTTACATTGTGGCTCAGTGGATCTATAAAGCTCCCTTTACATTGTGGCTCAGTGGATCTATAAAGCACCCTTTACATTGTGGCTCAGTGGATCTATAAAGCTCCCTTTACATTGTGGCTCAGTGGATCTATAAAGCTCCCTTTGCATTGTGGCTCAGTGGATCTATAAAGCACCCTTTACATTGTGGCTCAGTGGATCTATAAAGCTCCCTTTACATTGTGGCTCAGTGGATCTATAAAGCTCCCTTTGCATTGTGGCTCAGTGGATCTATAAAGCACCCTTTACATTGTGGCTCAGTGGATCTATAAAGCTCCCTTTACATTGTGGCTCAGTGGATCTATAAAGCCCCTTTACATTGTGGCTCAGTGGATCTATAAAGCACCCTTTACATTGTGGCTCAGTGGATCTATAAAGCACCCTTTACATTGTGGCTCAGTGGATCTATAAAGCTCCCTTTACATTGTGGCTCAGTGGATCTATAAAGCTCCCTTTACATTGTGGCTCAGTGGATCTATAAAGCTCCCTTTACATTGTGGCTCAGTGGGTCTATAAAGCCCCCTTTACATTGTGGCTCAGTGGATCTATAAAGCACCCTTTACATTGTGGCTCAGTGGATCTATAAAGCTCCCTTTACATTGTGGCTCAGTGGATCTATAAAGCTCCCTTTACATTGTGGCTCAGTGGATCTATAAAGCTCCCTTTACATTGTGGCTCAGTGGGTTTATAAAGCTCCCTTTACATTGTGGCTCAGTGGGTTGAGCGGTTTCAGCTGGGCACTCTGGCAGCCGCCATCACCATCAGGAGTCGTCACATCGCCCAGATGATGGTCGCGCAACACGAACGCGACCTCAGTCGTGTTGCTCAGGCACACCTGCACAAACTTTCTGTTCATATTTAAACCACAAAAGCAAAAAAAGCAGACGCAATAATTAGATGCAACAAGCTGAGCTGTTTGAGCCATCAGTGACCATTCAAATATCGTATTTGGTGTGCTCTTATTTTGCACAGCCACTGGTGAATTTTTAGCTAGAATTCCCTATTGGAAACAATCTTGTGTAGCCTAGGGTTAGAGCTCAATATAGGGCGAGGGCTAGATGTATAATTACAGAGAGAGTTAGGAATTGGGTAAGAGGTGAGAAAAGGTCAAGGTTGATCATAGCGGTAGCAGTAGGGATAGAACAAGGTTAGGAATGCGGTTAAAGACACCGACACTTCCAAGGGTTAGACATTCGAGTACAGATAGGATGGGACAAGAGAAAGAATTAGGATTAAACCTATGGCTAGGACTATGGTTAAGATATCGGTTAAGAAAGACCAGATCTAAGGGCTAAGACAGGGGCTGGAGTTAATTACAGAATTAGAGTTCTAGTCTTCACTCAGTTTAGAACCATGGACTAGGGCTTAGGGACACATTTTGGCAAGGGTTAGAGCGAACATTTTGGTTATGATAAGAACCAAAGGGACAGGATTAAACACATGAGGAATGGTAGGGCTAGGAATAGATAGAAGCAGGGTATTTTTATTACTACTACCAGGGTTGATTTCTCTTTATGGTGGTGCCGTGCAATGTGAGCTCATGGCCTCCACTGACCTCTCCCCAGCCGTGAGCAGAGAGTGCCGCGTACGGAAGGGAACTTTGAATGCCAGCGGAACGATTGTGGAGTAGATGGACCAGGGACTGTCAATAGAGATCTGCCAGGGAGGAGATTGTCATTAGCAACATGTCAGCCTAGACTTGATTGAACACAGATAAAATACATACAGCCCAACAGCATACCACATTCACTGCATTACTGGGAAGGTTTCTATATTAATAGATATCTGGAATTTTCTTGCATGTAATTTAATGTTTCTTGTGACAATATTATGACGAATTCACCCATCAGGAACACGAGCAGTGATGAGACAAAGGTGGCCTGGCATGTGTGATGGTGGCCCCACTACTCCATAACATGTGTATCATAACTCCATAACATGTGTATCATAACTCCATAACATGTGTATCATAACTCCATAACATGTGTATCATAATGGCCATAATAGGACCCATTACCAGCACTTACACTCCCACAGTTTGCAGTAAAATATATTTCGACAAATGTAAAAATGTTGATCTTTTTATATATTTTACATTTGGGAGGAGTCTTCATAAGTGTTCATGAAGAAGCCTTCCTCTGACGTTTGCGTGATGCTGTTTGTCACGTACGCAAGTTGTTCATGACCTCAGTCCAATGTGTGAACCATAACACCACCCTAAAACCCTCGCAGCCATCCACAGGTACGATTGACACGCCGGCTTGCCTTCTGATCAAGAACGTCTGCTTCGACGACAGCACCACCGCCCGCCTTTCGTGACTCCACTTTATCCACCGGTGCTCCATTTTGCCCGTCTGCTCCGCCAGCCGCGGCGAGCGGCAGTGCGCAGGCGACGCGCAGGCTGAAGCGCAGAGTGTGGTAGCAGGCGTGGCGGGGAGGTTGACGCTCACGATGCGCTCCGAGGGAGACACCGTGAACACGGCATCCGGGAGCTCCTCTGCCGTGGGATGACAGGAGGACAGTATAACATTTTGACTCAAGTACAACCTAAGACTTCTGACAAGTCAAATAAACCATGACCAGTCACAAATCTTTGGATGAATCACACTACTGCACTCTGTGCACACCACTTATTATATAGTACTGCATTGTCGTACAGCCTGTGGTACTAATGATACTACGTTTGTCAGTAATATGTGAGTGGTGAGTGTCTGGTAAGATCTTGATTTGAAGCTTTCGTGACTGTAGGAATCCATACTCTTTGGTTCTATCGGTAAAGTCCCGTAGGTAGAAAAAATAATAGATCACGACGTTCCGATCACAACACAAGCAATCGTCATCAGGTGGGACAACCGCAGCAAGAAACAACTGCTGAAGTAGGCGAGAGATCTGCCGTGGCACGAGGTTATATAGTAGTGTATAGTGTATAGTGTAGTGTATAGTAGGCCTCGCAGAAGGGGGGGGGAAGGAGGCGGGGCAGAAAGTGGACCCCATGGCAGCACCCGGGTCACTAGAGAGAGATCAGAGAGAGATGAACAGAGAGAGAGAGAAAGACACACAGAGAGTCGGAAGCAATACCATCACTTTGCCATACATACAGTGAGGGGAAAAAAGTATTTGATCCCCTGCTGATTTTGTACGTTTTCCCACTGACAAAGAAATGATCAGTCTATAATTTTAATGGTAGGTTTATTTGAACAGTGAGTGACAGAATAACAACAACAAAAAATCCAGAAAAACGCATGTCAAAAATGTTATAAATTGATTTGCATTTTAACGAGGGAAATAAGTATTTGACCCCTCTGCAAAACATGACTTAGTACTTGGTGGCAAAACCATTGTCGGCAGTATATAACCTTCTGCCACGGCAGATCTCTCGCCTACTTCAGCAGTCTTTTCTTGCTGCGGTTGTCCCACCTGATGACATTGCTTGTGTTGCGACCGAAACGTCGTGATCTATTATTTTTCTACCTACGTGACTTTACAAAAGAACCAAAGAGTATGTCTGGTAAGAGTAGAATAGCAGGTGAGTGATGAGTGTCAGGTGAGTGGTCAGGTGTCTATTAAGTATCTGGTGAGTGTTTAGTACCAAGTCAGAAATAGTGACTGGTGGACGTTCGTCTGGTGAATGGTATCACGTGATCGGTGAGTGTCTGGTAAGTGTGTGCTGAGTGCACCCAGTGTCTAGTTAGTGGTGAGTATGTGGCGAGTGTCTAGTATGTGTGTCTGCCGAGCACATCTGGTATGAGGAGGTGAGGGTCAGGTGAGTGTCATGTGACCCCATTAGTAGGTTGGGCTGCCTCCTGGTACAAACGCACGTACACAGTCATCTCTTTGGAATCCTTTGAGCAGTATCAAATGTTGTGCAGCTGTGACAGTGCAATAAATCAAACACGCGTGGCATATCGCAACCCACCAAAGCCCTTACCGCCAGTATCGGTGCTGATGCGTGCCGTGTTCTTGCCAGAGTTAAGGATGAGCAGCCCGGCTGGGAGGCTGAGCTGCAAGGCGTCACCCCCACGCACAGAGTAGCAGCCGGTGTTCACGGTCACAGTCAGCTCTTGAGGCACACCCGCTAGCAGTGGCTCTGTTCATCGTGCACCAACAAACATATGCACACAAGCATTGATAAAAACAAAGAACATCTGCATCGCCTTTCGCAGATTTTTGGAGCAAGTACTGTGAGCACCTATTAAGGCCAGCATAGCGCACGAGGTAGTAGTGAGGCCATCATTACACCCGGCTGCCTTTCACGGCACGAGTGGTGTGAAGTCCCCGTCACTTAATGGCGACCGGTGGCTGGTGTTGTACGTGCGTGCATGTGTGTGTGGCAGCACCGTGCGAGGGCAGCAGGTTGAGTTGCGGCTCCTGTGAATAGACGTCGTACTGCAGTGGAGGATAGAGGCGACGTGACAGGAGATGCACGCAGCCCAGCTGCACGCAAAGCTGCCTTAGTGTGAACGAGCCAGGCTCTGTGACCTGCAGGAGCGCAGGGAGAAAGGGAGGGGAGCACTCGGTGGCAACACAGACTTCCCCACAAACCGTGTCCACCCCAATGTTTGATCGGCCCTAAATGAGTCAGGAGCGAGCCACTCTGTAGAGGACCTCCACGATGGCGCTTTTGCTCTCACCACGGCAGAGAGGGTGACGGTGTTTTTTCCAGGCCTCAGCTGCACGCCGGTGGCCCTGAGCGAGCGCGATGCCTCTTCCCTCGTAACATCAGCACCGCGGCCTGAGGACGTGTTGGAGTCCTGACGGCGCAGCAGCATGTGCGAGTTGCGGCATACCACACCGCTCGACGCCAGTGGGGCATCCGCCTATGGGCAGCGACAAGACGGCTCTCGTGAGTTGCTGTCAACAAGAAACCAGGCTAAGTTCAAGTGTTCTTTTTTACTCTAGCATTTCTTAAACAAGGATCGAGGGGCCAAGGGTGTTCATACTCTCTTCAGATTGACTAGCCTGCTGAGAACTCTGGGCCACAGACATAATAAACTAAGTAAATGGATGTAGTAGGATCAAATGTAAGAGCTATGAAAGATGAGACAGGATCACTTTATTCATAAGAAGTCATCATCCTTAGTGCTCAATTTATTAGAAACCTAGCAATGATGGGAAAGGCCCGTACAACTACCTTCCTGTTAGCTGATAACTTAATTGGGGGTATTATTTGGCGTGTGAGCTACGACACCAGCACACGACAGCTCACTCCATCCAACAACGCAGCGGGTCTCTACTAACACCCTGCAACACCGACTTCCCGGCAGGCGGTGCCACACGAACGCACCTGTGGGCCTTTCTCCCTGAGCTCGCACACGTCGATCAATGCCGGGAGCTGCCGGCGCACGGGCAAGTCCGTCGCCGCGTTTCCCGGGAACACGACTCGCCCATCCGGGTAACGGGGCGTGCCGCCGTTAGCCCCGGTGGTGGCGGCGGCGGCGGCGGGGCCAGGCCGCGGTTCATGAGCGAGGGCTATGGAAATGGCGGTGGAGTTGGCACTGGCCGGAAGCCGGCTGACGAGCACCAGCTGCAGCACGAGCGTGCCGTTGAGGTTGACGAGGGCAGACGCCGGGGTAAAGCGCACGCTCGATAGCTGCAGCACCGGCTCCAGAGGCAGGAGGATCTCGCCTGCGCCGCCCGGAACGACAGCAAGGCAGACAGATGGGGCTGACTGCGACGTTTCTCCCGCTTGACACAATGTCGATTAGTTATTGATGCAACTACTTTGCCCCTTACATCTAAATTGAAGTGTTTCATTTTATTTGTTTTAATACGTATGTAAATAGCATTTTATTCGCACCGTACATAGCCAACTGGGCTAATTGGAGGTGTGAAATATAACTGGTTGGTGGAAAGTTCAGTTCTGAAAGAAAGCACCCAGCTTTCTGTTGAGACAAAGATTATTACAATGGGCTCACTAATCGTGTCGCCCCTCGGCGTAAAGAGAAATAAACACCGTGTATGTGTACATTCCTCTACCCGAATATAGTAATCATCTCCCTTTGAAACAAAATAGTTTTGAAGTAAAAATGGCAGTTTAAAAAAGAGCCAGGCCAAGTAGATGTGTTATAGCCACCGAGTCCAGCATTAATAAAGTCATGAATTCAAGCCAAGGCACTTGATGTGTCTCGTGACGCGTCTCATAGGGGCTTAGAATGGCGTTGTCAGACCACTGAACCAGCAAGTCTGAGATCCGACGTTCAAATCTAGGTTCAACTACCCACAACTAAACCCAACTCTGCATTGTAATGGTCTTGGACAATCATAAAATAACCACTTAATTTGGCCGACCCCAGCTCTGAGGACGTTTATTTTCCACGAGTTACATGGGGCTCATCACGATTTTCAGAGTATGAAGGAGCACAGCCTAGTGGCCAGTCTGGAGTAGCACGTCCCAGATTGCGCTTCAAAAAGTTACATGTATCATTTTACAGGTATCCTGACAAGGTTATTGGCTGAAATATAAGAATCTGTGAGATGCGTTTGACCATGTGCAATCTGGCGAGACCCCGAGGCAAACACTTGGGTGCGAAGCCCACCGCACGCACAGACGTCTGAACTCACCATGGTCCTCTGCACCACTGGACCCCAGGATCTCCTTGAAGTAAGACTCCCTCTCATCCACAGGCAGGTTCAGATCACTGGCCAGGAGGCTGCACATCTCCAGGTATGTGCAGCAGTGTCTGTTAAGGATTATGCCCTCAATGACAGGGCTACAAATAGCCATGAGACCAGTTGCATAAAACACACTAAGTTACATTTTAGCTTCTCATTTTTAAACGTGAAAGTAGAAAAAAAACACTTCCATTTGGAATTGTGTTAACAGTCAGACAAAACTGATAACACTCAGTGAGGCTTTACTAAATAAATGGACATTATAGCTGTTTAGAAAAATCCTGCTTGGAATATGTCCAACTGCTTTTCAATTAAGATTTTTTTTTATGTCCAAGGCAAATTTTGTGTGTCGAAGTATCTGAATAAATACTCTTTGGTTCTTTCGGTAAAGTCACGTAGGTAGAAAAGTAATAATCGTTTCGATTGCCACACAAGCAACCGTCTTCAGGTGAGACAGAGAGAGACAGGCTGCTGAAACAAGTCCTTATATTTAGAGCCGAGAGGGAGGGGGGGCTAGAGATTGTGCCTCAGCGAGTGTGAAATCCAAAGATGGGAACCGAGATGGGGGGGAAAGGGAGGATGACCTCCACGACGATGACGAGCTGAGGAGGTGGCTTTCCCACTCGCTGAGGCACAATCTCTCGTCCCCCCCTCCCCCCCTCTCGGCTCTAAATATAAGGACTTGTTTCAGCAGCCTGTCTCTCTCTGTCTCACCTGAAGACGGTTGCTTGTGTGTCACAAAAGCAATGGATGTAGGAGTGTCAAGCATATAGTATTCGGTATGCGCCATGCAGAGTATAATAGAGAAATACATGAGACACATGAAGTCCTGCAGGTAGGATCCCTTGACCGAGGATATTTGGTGGTGTTTCCCAGTTGCTTCTGGCAAGTGGCAATCTGCTTGCGTGTGTGTGTGACGGGCAGCGTCCAGCCTTCGTCTCGGTATGTCTTCAGCGCATCATACAAAAATGCCTCAGCTTTTTGCGGCTCTCCCTTTCTCCTATACAACGGACACCAACACAAAGGGGCACAGACTCGGTAAGCACGCACACAATGTAGACGATCCACATATCCCTGCACTCAAGCAGAGGGTGTAGGGCATATGGTTGAGTGTTAATCGTACAAACCCGAGTTGCCCCCGAAAAAATGCAGTGAAAAAAACAAAACAGGCACAGATGATGGGAGATACTGCCACGTGAGTTTGCTGTGCAGAACTGCGTGCATGGAGCAGTGTGGGCTCTCACATGTGATACTCCGCCAGGTCCGTGCCTATCAGTCGGGCTGAACGAATCCTCCCAATGTGTTTGTATGTCCCCATTGCAATCTCCGACAGCTCCTGTCAGCAGTCACACACGGTCACATGCAGTGCTCACGCCAACCTTCACGGGCACGTTTTTCTAGAGGTATTGCCTACCAGTACTTAGTCTGTAGGAGTGTCAAGCATATAGTATTCGGTATGCGCCATGCAGAGTATAATAGAGAAATACACAAGATCCCAAAGAAAAGGGAGCCGTGTACAAAAATGGAAACTATGGCCTTATGTGAATGAGTTATATGCAGTTAATTTGATCGATACTAATGCGTCATACACAGAATGTATATTTAATCACACACAGCCCTCGTTTTTGTATTAGCATGCTAACTCTGACAATGCTCGCTTGCTTAAATGCCAACAGTCATGGCATGCACCAAACGGGCAGCAGATCCATTTGCTGCAGTATCCTAATTGAGACAATTCGCGATGAGTGTGTGAGCATTGTAACAATCACAAGGTTCAAAGGACATACATTGACACATGCTCATTCGCAACACTTCACCTCATTAAAACATCATTCCACAGTATTAATGATCTACAAGTACAGCCATGCTTGTCAATCCACTGTTGGATGAGAATCTCCCAATGCCGTGCGGGTCACGAGGGAATTGTGACTACCCTTCAACACGATGGTCAACGTGGGTTGCTGAGGAACATATACAGTGGATAATAGTACAGTACAATAATGGATGTTGTTGCACTGCCCTCTGCTGAAAAGAATCCCCACAGGAGTCCACAGCACCAGTTGTATGCATGGCGGTCACCCATACCAGCACTAGCTAGGTCCAGATTAGCTTAGCTTCTGAGATCTGAGAAGCTTGGGTATGGTCAGATAACCCCCATGACCCACACTGGATTCTGGCTGATTTGCTCATCGGCAATTGTAATAATGATTGTACATCACAATGCGTTCATATTAAGCCATACCATGTAATGCTTCTCATAGGCTTCCATTGAAGACAGGGCTTCTCTTAGCTTCTTTCCAGGGTTGTTAATGTTGCTTGCTGCAAATAAATAATCAACTAAATAAACAAAATCAATCACAAAAAACAATGACATAAAATGAGCTCCATTACTTAGGCATAATAGTCAGTATGTGCGAGCGTAGATGCTATTGTTCATTTGAAGCTTTCGTGACTGCAGGAATCCATACAAAGAGTATAGATGCTATCGTGAAATGTGTAAATACTTTAGAATTAAACCTCATCACTACGTTCCCATTGCTTGTGTATTCCCACATCTTTCATCTCATTCTTTAAGTCTGAAATATTCCTACCAACAGGATTTTAAATGTACTTGCTACAAGTAACTCTATAACTGATGTTTTCCCATGAGATAGATATACAGCATCAGAGAGGCGTTGATCGACAGAGATAAGCATAACAGCAGAAACCCATTGCATGAAATGCATAATTTTTATGGCAAAGAAATAGTATTCCCTGGTTCAATGTTTTGCTGAATCTCAAGTTCAGTTTCTGGTCCTTTGAAGAACACGAGATCAAAGCTTCACTCTTGTTTACTTTAAACTACCCCAAGTAGTGTTTCTTATAGTTGCTTACAAACAGCAAACACATTGTGAATGTTCATACAATAGTCGGTTAATTTTCTTTGCAAGTGGTTATGATAATGCAAATGCCCTCAGAGGGATAAAAGGCAATACATCTTAAAATTGACATTTAAAACATCTAATTCGAGTATCATGTGTATGGGAACGTAGGGGGCCAAAGAGGCATCTGCACGCCAAATTTCAGATATGGAGAAAGCCATTTGCTGTGCTCCATAAATTAATAGCCTACTCAGGAGCCCATGGTCCTTAGGCATAGGCCCCCATGACTGCTGCTTACCTCCAGAACTACAGAATCATTCCCATGCACCTAACTGTTATTGAATAAACACAGATCAGAGGCCCCATTCGCTAATAGGCACTGATGATGTTAATCCCTGCTATTGGTCCTGAGTCAATGGTGAGTGAATATTCGACATTGCCATGATGGGGACCAGTTGATATATTTGTATAGACTAACAGGGACTGCTGACTAACAGGGACTGCTGACATTTGACGAAGCGGTGCGACTCGTAGCCGAGTGTAAATGAAACAACGCTGCCAGGGAGTGCTCCATAAACTGTCATCCATTGTCTGTGCATGCTCCATCTTACGACTGTCTTCGTCGTCATCCCGTAGGCCAGCCAGCAGGTCCACTGTGCGGTTCAGCTCCTCCGAGTCTGGGCCATTAGGAGACATAAGGCCACACAGGGAGCCCAGGCCTTGGAGCTGTAAGTGAACATGCATAAATGTAGCACAAGCTTGCTTGTTTAAACACAAACATGCACATTTGCAAGCATGCATGGCACATACTAGAATTTGTGTTGATTTTATATATCTCAAGGATAGAGCCGTGGCTTATTGACAAGGGCACTGCCCTCTGAACCTGGCCACTTCGGTTCAATTCCAGACCACAACGACATGTCAGTGGCGAGTGATATTTAAACTGGTAAACTCCCAAAATGTTGACTTTAAACTTTCGTGACTGCAGGAATTCATATTCTTTGGTTCTTTCGGTAAAGTCACGTAGATAGAAAATAATAATAAAGTGAATAAAAATGTAAAATAATGAAAATTAAATTAACTAAAAAAAAACACTAATGTAGACTGTTCTTAATCTGAGTGAGTGTACTGGCAGTCTATAATAAATATTATTTGTGGATGGTAACCAGAAAACATTGAAACCACTCATAAGCAATAATATTAAGTTATTTATCACTTACAAATATTTAAAAATTCGACCTTTATGACACTCATTTTCCAGTTTGAGTTCCATAATGTGAAAAGGGCTTCAAAAAGCGTTCCCCTAAAGCTAGTCTAAGTTTGCACTGAATTTCATTCAAAACACAAAGATCACAAGCAAAACATTTAGTCTGAGAGCTTCATAACCAAGTATCAATGTCCCATTGCATGAAGGCCTGCACAATGTGTGCATCCTGGTTGCTGGGATTAATTTATATTTTAACTAAACTAGAAACGATATTTTATGTTACCAGGTAAGGCCCACTAAGCTAGAGAGGTTGTTTTTTATAAGCAACCTGGTCACGAATGATATTTCAATGACACGGCTTATCACGTGAAACGTCATAGCAGCCAAATACTGTAAAGTTGAGTGTGCAAGATGCCCACCTTCTCCCGTGCGTATGCCCGCAGACCGGCCGCATAAGCAGCGAACGAGTCATTCTGGTTGGTGTCGCAGAACGTCTCGATCCTCTGCAGCACCTCCAGGCAGCTGATGTAGACCCAGCAATCAACCGCACCCACCGGCATTTGGATCTGGGAATTTCAACGTGAGCAATGTGATTTGGAGATTACATTGATTTAATAGACCTTAACAAAGATAACGGGATCTGTTGAATTGCTAAAATAAAATTTTTCCCTTAACATGCCTTCTTTAGATATATCTCTAGACTATTTATTTGAATAAAATAAAACAAACAAAAAGACAAAGAGCTCTGATTGTATAGACGTGTAACAGTGCAGTCTGTGTGTACTGCACGTGCATGCACACAGGGCCCCCCCCTTACGTATTTAGAATCCCCTACATTATTTGTGCATCTCTCTCTACACATCTCTATCTGTCTTTATGGATCTCTCAGTGTCTTTCTCTGTGTTTATGCCCGTGTCTGTCTTGTCTCTGTGTCTCTCTTGCTATGTTTACATAACATCCGAGTGTTTGGGCCATAGAGGCTCTCTGGGGCATGGCGGTGATATCACTGAATCCAAGGTGCAGACTCTGCACTACATCTCTCTCATGACACAAAGTCAACAATCAATGGGAAGTGTCAAGTCCGTTGAGGCTGCGCTAAATCCTGTTGCTGGAAATAATACAGCACCCAATTGGGTTGCGCTTTCTTCTTACATGACAAACTCACATCTCAGCAGTATATTACTGGTAAACTAACCCCACTGGATAAAACATCTTAGAGAAAGTGTATATATACAGCCCCTTTTGTCAATATGTTGCTCTATGAGAGCTTCCCAATGACATGAAGGTCGTTGGGGTTATTTGATCAATAAATTGGTCAGGACAGGTTTGTGACAGTGGGGTGGCACAGATGTGGGCAGATAGAAGTACAGGAAAACAAATAATTTTTTGCAGTGGCCTCTGCTGGCCACAATGTAGTCCGCAGCCTATAACAATCTGTTTAGTATATGGTAGTCACCCATCTAATCACTTTTCCTTGTTGATCTTGCGACTCCTGATGAGATTGGGTGCATTTCGGGTGATGTGGTTACGGGCCTTAAGAGACATTAACCATTCCACTAATAATTAACAATGACTGTTCAGTATTCCGTGGTGCCACGTCATATATGGATGGATCTTGACCAGTCACGTTTGGTTTATCGTGGCATACTCGGCTGCCGAGACCTCGCGTGAAACGCTGCTGCTGCAACGTGCGTGCTGTACCTCCAGCATGCGCAACTCCAACACAGAGTTATGCAGCAACTCAAGGGCCCGGTGCGCCACCTCCCAAGGACGCTGCAGGAAGAAGAGAAGTGTGCACTGGCGCGAGAAGAGGTAGCTGCGCAGATCGAGCAGCGAAGCCTGCCCCGTCTGCACCGCCTCTCGTTTTCCCATGTCGATCGGCCGCCACAGTGCCAGGCCCACCCAGCTGCTGACTGGCCGACGGAAGCTTGACAACCAATCGGCAGTGTCTGCACAAACACGCACATGCGTCCGCGTGGTGTTAATGAGAATGGTGCCATTAATGTAACCGTGTGTCCAGGAATGCTGCATTGATTCTCAGGACCCTGATTAATGCTTCCCAAATAAGGCTGAAAGTATTCATGTATTAACACTGTCTTTCTGTCTGTAAATCTGTAAAATATGGTCAAAACTCTCGTGAAAATTATCCGAATTATAATTTAGTTTAAACTTGTGTTGCTGTCAGGGACTTACCCTACATATAAATGTGCCAATTTATCAATGGGTTGCCCAAAACTTGCAGAAAAAACTACAACAATTTACCTGCCTTTGTAAGAGCAGAATGTAGCCTCACCAATGTGAAGTTGAAAACATTTCACCATCTTGCATAAGGACACTCCATTATTGATTTGACAGGAGCTCTTCTGACATTCAATACAATGAGACCATGGAACAATTTTCTATGCAAAATGCTCACTTCTGTTAAATGTTTACAGTAAATTGCATCTATTATATCTTGACTTACAGTTTTCGTGACTGCAGGAATTAATATTCTTTCGGTCCTTCGGTAAAGTCACGTAGATAGGTTCAAAGAAAATAACAAAAAACAAAAACTACGACGTTTCGATCGCAACACAAGCGGTCATCTTCAGGAAAAGGGGGGTTCGCTTCCAAACTCTTGAAAGGGTTTGAAATGGGCATAGCCCAAATGTCAGCAGCCAATAATGCAAGTGGTGGGTGGGCAGCCAACCCCACGGTGATTGGTTTTCCAGCAATCAATCAAATGTTCACCCGGCAGCCCTTTGATTGGTGGAAAACCAACCACCCTCGGGTTGGCTGCCCACCACTTGCATATTCATTGGCTGCTGCCATTTGGGCTACGCCCTTTTCAAGCCCTTATAAATACAGGCAGTCCTCTACTTACGATGGAGATGCGTTACGACGACCCATCGTAAGTCAAAAATATCGGAAGTCGAAGATGGCCTCGCCTACCCAGGCGTCTTACGTACAGCATCGTACCTCGTACGCTGCTGCGTTTGCCTACTGCGCGAAATGTAAAATATGTTACAATTTTGTCGTATCGCGATCGCCATCGCAAGATCGAAATATCGTAAGTGGGACCGTTGTAACTCGGGGACTCTCTGTAGTTGCCTTTGGAAGCTACCCCCCCCCCCTTTTCCTGAAGACGACCGCTTGCGTTGCGATCGAAACGTCGTCGTTTTTTGTTATTTTCTTTGAACCTATTTCCGTGACTTTACCGAAAGAACCAAAGAAGATGCATCTATTATGTCCTACTACTCAAGAGCGAAACAGCCCGCAGGGGTGACGGGGCGAGACTTGTTGTTACCTCCGGCACCAAAGTTGAGGACATACTGAGTGAAGAGGGCGTCCAGCTCGTCGTACTGCACCAGGGCATCCTCATACTGCTGTAGCATCTCAAACACAAAGGCCAGTTCCTCCTGTGAAAGGGCAAACAAACCCCCATTTAGTCTCACAGACCGGCCCACAGTAGTAGGTGCTGTTAGCGATTGCCTATTAGCACCACTAATATTAACATATTAACATTCCACGGGCGGAAGTGTAACCAGCACCACACATGTCCAGTCACCTGTCTCCCGATTGCCAATGTTGACCACGACACTTCACCAGGTATTCATGTGATGCTGAGAATTACTTTACAAAGGCCACTGATGTTGTTCCTCATGGCCGGCAATTGAAGACAGGTCACCGAGCTCATTAGTGTAGCCGAGTGTATTAATCAATGTGGAGTGAGTCCAACTGAGTCGCAGACGTTATTCTTTAGAGGCAACACATTTATTGTAACGCGTATAAAACACATTCCTGTGGAGGGAGCTGGTAGGAACGTTGGGTTGCTCGGTCAATGGCCAGGGTGAACGGCGGCGTGGTGTATTCCGCAAATATGCCCGACTGTGAGGGCGGGCACAAGCCGGCGTGAGTAGGTTAAACGTTGAGTTTTATAAGGGCACCACGGGGTGACCAGCCCCTCCTCACCCAGAAACACCCCTCCCACCCCCACCCAGCCCCACCCTCCCCACCCAGCCCCTCCCCACCCTCCCCTATCCACCCAGCCCCACCCCTCCCATTTTTGGATGCACGACGGACGGACACAATATCCCCTGTGGGCTGGTGGAACCAGGAGGTTCCTACCAGTACAAAGGGGTAACTGCCCTTTACCAGATACAGCCGAGGGTGGTGACCACCCAGCTAACTACACGATGGGAGGAGTTACAGCGACGAAGGGTAGGGCCCCCACGTCGACAAGCTGGAAGCTGGAAGCTTGTCGACATGGAGCTTCCAGCTTGTAGAACGAAGAGACCCTGGTCCCTCTAAGGACCCACCTTATATCCTCCCAGGTCGGGGCCTGCTCCACCCTCGGCCCCACCCGCCTTCTCGAGCCTTCTAGCTCCCTCTCGATCCCTCTCGAGAGCTCTCCCTGGACACGTGGTCACCCCCTAGCCCCCCCCACCTGGGGCCTCCTCTGTGGACACTCCGGATCACGTGTCTACGGGGTCAACCAGAGTGCCGCAGCCAGGGGCAACCCTGCCCCTGGACTGACACTCTCCCACTCCCCTTGTGGGAGGGAGCCCGCACTACACGCCATGCGTGGTGCCCATGCTATCCCAGCGCTCACCAAGCCCCGCTAGGGCTGGTACTACACCCATCTACGGGGTGTACGCGATGACGGTGCATCGCACGCCGTGCTGCTCTAGAGCCGGCCCCACACAGCAACCCACCCGGTGCCGTCCGCGATGTAAGTACATCGCACGCCACGGCCCTCCCGGGCCGGCACCATACAGTGACATCCCTGATGTCACTACAAATACGCACACACACACTCTGCCACATTCCCCATTTAAACAGGCAAACCATTACATTAACAACCATCTGCAAACAATATATCTTGACATATGGAACTTTTTAAACAATCCATGTAAATAAGGCCACGGGTCTCTAGGAGTAGTAAACAATATCAGGGTTAAGTGGGCATAACAGCTCATGTCGATAAGCCACCACCCCTCCCCCTTGCGGACTTCCTTCTGCTAGATCCCAAAGTTGTTGCAACGTTTACACCCAATATCCAAGAACCTGTTTCATGGAATCCAGTCATTTGCCTTTAGATATTAATGTAATCGCTGGAATAAATAAGCCCGCACTGGATTAATTAGTGGCATGTATTAAATAAAAAAAGAAGTCATTTCTGTTGTATAAAGAATGGCTGAAAGTTGAATAAACAGTGATCTCTGCTCATGAAAAGAGAAACCCGTTCTGTATGTGATAGAATGGTCTGAGTTGGATTAAAAGGGGGCAACATGTCCATTGACCGTTGCGTGCCTGGGCAAGCGCCAATGGGCAAGCGCCGCCCGGCTCCGCGCGCGCACGGACCTGCACCATGAAGTAGTGGCAGAAGCTCCAGGAGGGGTGCGTGCGCTTCTCCCGCAGTGCCCGCATGTCGTCCTCAAAGCGACCCAGGTTGCGCGTGAACGACATGAGCAGCAGCATGCGCAGCTTCGCCACGAAGGAGGCCCACGACTCCTGCGTTTTACTCGAGTCGCGCAGGGGGTCGGTGAGCACGACGCACCTAAAGACGGCGCCGCCGCCCAGGGGGCAAAGGGGGGAGATGCATGGGTGTCAGGAGACTGTTCTTACACGAGGGTCCGGCTTGTTCGTACGTAACGATTCAATTGCACCGAATTGAGAACATGTTTAATCTCAGACTTACACGTAAGAAACATAGACGTAGACAAAAATATTGAGCCAAAGCTGAAATGTGCATAAAGAAAAAGAGGTTCATGCTTGCAATAACAATGAGAGACAAAAAGCGGAACACATGGGGATTAGAGAAGATGACCTCTAAAAAGAATAAGTACGCTCGGGCTAGAAAGGACAACAGCGATGCACGACATTAACGATGGAGTCGAAGAAAAAGCAGAGAATATGCGAGAAGATGTCGAGCACAGAGAGAGAGTGGTGAAGTTAGATCATGTGCAGAGCTGGACGGATTGTTACATCGTGGGACTGAGATATGGCGACGGCTTGGGGAGAGGCCTGAATTCAGCAGTGGTGGATTGATGATGGCTGTTGATGACGAACATTTAATCGATGAATGCATACAATTGTCTAAATAAGATCCTAATATTTACAATTTATATAAGGTATTACTCAGTATAATGGTTCAAACAAGACAGAAAATAAATATGAGACAGTCCAAAGAAGAAATTAAATAATTGATTCTTGAATGAAATCATGACCCATAATTGTCAAATATCATTGACTTGTCGGGGGTGGATTCATATTCTTGGTTCTTTCGGTAAAGTCACGTAGAAGGGAAATAATAAAATAATAAAAATATAACATAATTATGTAGTATTTGTATGCTTTATTTGTATTCATTAATTATTGTTTTATTTTTATCATTTATTATTTCCCTTCTACGTGACTTTACCGAAAGAACCAAGAAGATGAATCCTTGCAGTCACGAAAGCTTTAAAACGAAATGGGGGTGTATTGTTACACGTCTACGACCAGTGGGAGAAACCCGGAGTGTCCTGATAATCCCCAATGCAATTTTGGATAAATATGATCAAACGCTGATATTCAGACAGCTTAATAATCTTACAGACATCTTGCTGCTCTACAGTGTTTAACAAATATTATTACGTCCATACAAAGTATGAAACCTCCTACAAATACCTGTTGCAGACCTGCACTGCAAATGCCAAGCGTTATATATTGACATGTTGGTGAATATTGCTTTTCCAAACACTTTTTTCCAGAGATGTACAGAGATCTCCATTAAGTACAACTGGGCAAAGTGACGAGGCAATGTGATTCAAATATATTTCTAAAACATGAATCCGGTCCCTAAAATGAAAAGCAACATCTAAAAGATAAAGCCATATTTGGCAAGTGGGAGACCACACTAGCTACTCAGACTATACCCTGAACCAAACTAGCCAACCCATCACTATTCTCAAACACAACCAAAGTAACCAAACAAACCCTAACACTATCCTTATCTCTGACCATATGCCTAGCCCTAGCTTCACACCACATCCTTAACCCTAGCCCCATACGTGCCAGCGCCACCACAGCTGCCTCACCGGTCGCTCTGCTTGTTACAGAAGTCGTTTCTGATCTTGTCGATGATTGAGGTTCGTGGCAGGGCAATGGGCTGCTTCTTCTTTCGGTTCTCATTCTCCACGAGCACCACCAGCCAGTCGGGGCTGTTGTACGCACGCAGCATTGACTGCCAGCGCGTGATCTCTTCTTTCGTCGATGCCTTGTACACTTCCGACTCCTGCATACAGAACCCACAGCCAGAAAAGCTTCTGGTTACCCGATGCCAAGACTACCACAACTACCACAACCACCTCCACCAAACATATTCATCACCACCATTACCTGAAGTGTATGAGTCCCAATTCATGGTCCAATCGATTGTTTTCCTTTGACAGTTCAGTAACAATATGGAAACTCTAAACCATTTTCAGCTGCACTGTTTTGAAAGTGGTAATGTGATAATGAATGACAAACATTTAATTTCGTTAAAATTAGTAGTTTTTTTACTCGAGCAAAGCGAGATGCTCATACCCTGTTGATAGCTCTGTAAAGATGATATAAAGCCCATATTCTGATTGCAGCAGTCAGTCAATCCAGAGAACAGCTGCCATTGACTTCTCAACGAATGTTGCTCATTTTTATAAATCCTGACAGACATAAATAGTATTTTTGGAAATGAATTGACCAGTGAAATCAGAACGTAATGACTTAGGCTAACTTAAGTTTCCTGTGCAAATAGCTTCCAAGTGCAGAGTTAATCTATGGTGCTCATGTTAGCAGTGTAATATGTAAGTATAAATGAAACATAATGCAACCAATTTTACTAGGAGCTACATTGAAAATGTCATTTTATTTAAAGCAAAGTTATGGTTTCACAGTAATTTTAAAGTTTCATATTTTTACACATTATCATGTACACATGTTGTTTTCATATTGTTTTTCATGACTTTCTTTTTCAAATTAATACATTGCATAACCACCTCCACACATACCTACTCACCTACCTACACACTTACCCAAAATGGGCATTACGTTTCCATTAACATGCTTATTAACAGCACGCTTTATGTCGTGCTGAGAACTCACACAGCAATCCGTCCAGAATATGTGCAGGAAGGGGAATGTAAGCAGGGCCTTGCTTCCCTCCTTTGGCAGCAGATCTTCCTTGAACGCCACAAAGTTCGCTTCAAGGTTGATCATCTTTGGGGGACGCCCATATGACCTGCGCATGGCACCCATTCATTGAGTCACCCACTTCGTTCACAAAAATGCAACATTCTCAAAATATTGCTACAGATGGATATTAATGCTTATAAGGTAATTCATGAAACTTGTAACCAAAAAAAAAATAGTACTTATGATGTAGATTCCAAAATAGGCCATGTGTTGCGGGCTTTCTGACATGAGTCGAACCTTCATTAGTAAGAAACGAGACCTGAAAGTGATTTTTTTTTAAATACAGTACATAGCATCAGTAATAGCCGAGGCACATATTGATGCTGACAGTGCCGTTCCCCTCATCATCATCTCACAGATCTCCGAGAGCCTCGTGCACGTTCCCTCATGATGGTGTGGATGATGGTGTTGACGGCGGTGTTGCGAATGGAGATGGTGATGTAATCACCCTCACGCACACCGCCATGACCTTCGTGTACGTTCGATTATAGTACGAATGGTGATGGTGCTTGTTGCAATGGTGTTGATCGCGATAGTGTTGATGACATATCACTGCAGTGACATGCTGTGGTCATGTCCCTGTAGTGATGTAAGAAAAAGTATGTCACAAATTCAAGTTACAGTCTATTATTTCAAACTATACTTCAAACTCGTGTTGAACGACTCAGGACATGCAGCCTAGATACGAGACAATTCATTTTTTTGGTTGCAACCTACTTTAAATGTTTGATGGCTCAGAAATATTGTAAGGTGTGTCAAATGCAGACAGGCAACACTTACCGCCTCCATTCAACTGCTTCTTTTGGGAGTTGCTGCACCAGGGTTTGGTAAATAGATGAGAACAGGGATTGGTCTCCACCACCTGCATGCAATGAAAAAAATTGCCCCTGGTATTACACAAAACAGCTGTGTTTACCATAAGCAAGTTATGAATGTTTAGGATGTGTTAAACAAAAAAAACATATCTGGTTCAAGGGCACCAACGAGTAACAAAACCAAATTCAGATAAAAACCATAGCATGCATTGTCATGCTATATCAATAATAGTGATGCACAATCCTTTGTCAATCTACTGAGGAATCAAGGCTTCCTTCTTTCTTAAGTAGACTTGGTTTTGGGTCTTAACCGCACTGTACCATGCTGGTCAGTGCAGGTTGGTGAATGGGTGTGGTACTCAGTACCGATTCAGGCCTACTGGACATCTGTGAAAAGAGCTTCATAGCTTATCGGATTTCTCCAGGATAAATATTATGATTCTGAGAGCTCACTCGCCACCGTTCTTAGCCGTGTCCAGGAATAAAACTCAGGTCGCTGGGTTCATATGCCAATGCATAACCACTGCACCACCAATATCTACCTGCATGCTGGATTGTGGGTATCACAGTCATTAGCATACAAAAGTGTCTGCTACACTACTTTAAAATAAATAAATAAATTTCACTACCTGAATATTGGACTTTTGGTCCAACATCTTACATCGGCATGTGTTAATGCAAGGAAACGGACTTGGTTTTGCATTTCTGTCGTGTATTGAATAGACCCATGACATTCAGGCCACACAGAAGCATTCTTTAATTTGCCACGGTCTGCTAAGGCTCATAAATGCGAGAACGTCATAATTTATAAAAATGCAGCTGAAGTACATTCGTCCAAAAATCTATAGGCCGACTCACAGGTCTTGTACAGAAGGTGGTGCTGGCAATACTGTACACTGTAGTTGTCAACATTTAACCTCGTTAGAGCCCAATGACTAAACGTACCGTATTGAAATACTAAATGTAAACAATTGACCTAAAAGGGCTCTCGCACGTTTAATAAACATACGTTCAATTAGTACAGCACTGTGATATTAAGATGTACAATTGTATTACAATAATGTACACACGCCAATTACTAAATCACCCGCAATGCGCCCGATCTCGGAAGCTAAGTCGAGTTGAACCTGGATCGTGCTCCCACGTCTATGCTCCCGCACTTACCAACCCACACGAACCATCGTGGTGGCACGTTCTGTTGACGTGACAACCCTTACTAGTTGGCTGTGTCGGGTGGTGGCGGGTTTAACGACACACATTCACCTCTATCAGGCAGCGTGGTGTAGTATGGTCAAAATACCTCCCGCGGCCATCACGGCGAAGAAGAGGCCTGACCGAGCAGTGCATTGCCGAAAGGGCTTGGCATGTACAAGATATACCCGCCATATCGATATACCCGCCATATCGATATACCCGCCATATCGATATACCCGCCATATGAAAACACCAACATGCTAATTAATTGCTCCGAGCCTTCACGCACTGCGTATCGATATTGTCACGTTCGTATGCCGGGACCTACCACCACTGCAGTGCACCTCAGCAATGTTTTTTTACATCACAACCGAATGCACTGAAGAACCGCGCACGTAAAATATTGCAGTAGTCATGTAATGAGAACAATAACCATTATCATCATTATTATTATAATAGTTAAACTGACGTGGGATTATAGTTCGGAAGCACTGGGGCCTGGTCCGATTCCAGGAGCAGTCCCAGACCCACACATTGATTCCGACACACGCGTTAATATTGTATCTTACACGTCACTATGGGCCTGTTCTCCATCGTGTAGACCACTGGCTTCTCCTCACTCGCCATGGCCACGAAGTTTTGTTGTTTATTTCCGCGTCTTTAATTCGTGACAGAAACAAACATCGGCGCCGATTACTGCCCAGAGCGAGACGCCGGGGCCCGTGACGTCACTTCCGACAACACCGCTCGCGAGCGACGGCGATGCCAGATCGGAGGGGAAACCCTCCAGATCAAGGGGTGGCAGGTGGGGGGTGACAAAAACCTCTAGAACTCCACCATCGTTGTCATCAGCCCAGGCTGGGTTATGTTGAACTTAATCTTAATTTGGAGCTTTCGTGACTGCAGGAATTGCTCTTTGGTTCTTTCGGTAAAGTCACGTATAAAGATAAAATAATAAATTAAATAATAGCATACGACGTTTCGATTGCAACACAAGCAATCATCATCAGGTATAAATGAAATAGCAACACAAATCTAACCAGAAAACTATAGACAGACATATAAGCAGACAGATATCACCAAGATACGTAGAGAGAGAGAAACACATAGACTTCTTTCGCACCGTACGTAGCCAACCGTGGCTAATCGGAGGTGCGGGGGGTAAGGACAACAAACTAAACACAAAAACAAGTTCTATAAATAATGAGAAGCTAGATTATTTAAGAGTGCGTAGCTACAGTGGCTTCCTAATGTGGGAAGGAGCGTTCCAGACGGCCGCAGAAGCGCGCCTGAAAGCGCCGCTGTTCGATGGCGAGCCACGATCCGTCTACTGCTGGATGAGTGCGTCCCCAAAGCCATCGCCACCCGTCACTGTGCTGTCATGCAACAATAACAATCATTACTCCTGACACGGGGGTCGGGAAACAGAATAACAAGAAACATTTTTTTAGAATTCAGTAAAAAGAATCCCTCAAGATGTCCAGAGCCGCCGCAATGTCGCGGAGGTCCTGGTGACGAAGCAGCCCGCGAGGCGCCACCTGGTGGCTGAGGCTGCACCTGCAGCTACCGGGGAGACGCAGCAGGACAGCTGACAGCCGTACCAATGAGTGACAGCAAATAAGAAATAGTTGGTGTTCGGACTTTTCTAATGATAAGCAAAGAAGCATGGAGTGGTTTTGTGCTTAGCGTCACTGTGGGGGCCGACGCCCTCCACCCCCTTCACCCCCTCTCCTCCTCTCGCCGGGCCCCCCCCGATCGGCGATCGCCCCCCGCGCCACATGCCCCCCACCACTAGAGGTGAACGCACGAGGTGAGCGTTGAACAAAAGAACGGCGGCGGCATGAATATGCACCCCCCCCCCCCGGGTGGATAAGCCTTAATCCGCTGTGCGAACAGAGGCGAATGCCAGCGGGCGGGAAAGTAACGGCGGGGATAGGGCGATGGTGCACGCCTCGCCGTCAACGCGATTTCTACTGCGTCAACGCGCTGCGTAAACACGCGCTGCGTAAAGCGCGCTGGACAGTTGGTAGAGACAGAGACGACGACGAGAAGAATGGTGAAGACGACGAGAAGAATGGCGACGAAGGACTTGAGCAGCACGACGGGGATCCCACTCCAACAACAGCCCCGAGGTCCCCCACAGGGGCCCCTCTTATGACGTCAGCGTGGCCACGCCCCCTCTCTGGAACCTACCAGCGGGTTCTGGTGGGCCCCTTCTGTGACGTGTCACCTAGATACCCCTCTCGCGTGTATCCTGGCCTGCTGACGTCAGGACTGCCGTACGCCGCAGATCCCCTTTTCTGCCAGCAGCCAGCGCTATGCCACTACACTTGTGTGATGACTCTCGGACAACACAAACTGTAGAGGGCTTCTTTATTTCTTATTTAGGGTGCTTCACGCAGATAACTTGGTCAGTGATGACACGCAGATAACTTGACCAGGGATGGCACGCAAGTGGCGACGACGCGAAGACGGTCGACCCCGATCCCACGGCAGCCTCGAACCTCGTCTCTCGCCTCCTTTTATCCCCGGCCACGTCCCCTTTCTTGAACTCTTTTGATGGTTCCCCCTGTGTCTCAACTCGCCCTCTATTCATCTCAATCCCCCTAATTACTACACGTGACTGCTCGACCATGCACTGTCCCTGCACCCTCTGCACACGCACTGGCTCTACAAATGTAAAAACATTTGTTGTTGCCACTCCTATGAGTCCAGTCCATCACGAATGTGCATTGATCACATATTGAAGTAGGCTCTCTGAAACAACATTGGTTTGAGTATTCTTGGTACTTTCGGTAAAGTCACGTAGATAGAAAAATAAATAAAAGAAACATGACGTTTCGGTCGCAACACAGCGTCCGTCATCAGGTGAGAAAAGAATGATCTGCTGTTGTGGCTTTATATAGGCACGGGAGGAGGGGAAGGGGGGGTGTTTTGTAGAGTCGTGGCTGCACGCCACAAACCCTCCCCCTCTCCCCGTGAACTCCGGCAGCCACGACTCTACACCCCCCCTTCCCCCCCGTGCCGATGTCGAGGTATTATTGTACACTTCCTGTGCTGTTAGCAGTTAGCCGGTATCTCATACGTGCCAATAGGGGCGGAAGAGGGGCTGAGCCCCAGTGTTAATGGACCATGGGCCACGGGGCCCAACGGTAACCGAGATACAGACCCCAGGAGGGGGCTTGGGGATGACATCACCCCCAGGTTCTGCGAGAAGGATCGAGAAGGGAGGTGTGGCCGGGGCAGAGCGAGCCACGGCTCTCTATAAAAGCCGGACCTCTGGATGGTCCCGGCAGTCGTCGTCCAGCTGAAGACAAGAAGCCTACTCTTAGGTTTATTCGGTAAAGTCACGTCGGTAAAAAATAAAATTAAAAGTTAATAAAAATAATAATGGAAATAAAATATAATAATAAATCACTGCATCAAGATGATGCAGTAATTTTAGCTGTGACGATCCCACCTGATGATGGAGACTTGTGTTGCCTCCGAAAACTTCGTGATTTATTATTTTATTTTATTTCCATTATTATTTTTTATTAACTTTTATTTTTTTACCTACGTGACTTTACCGAAAAAACCCAAGAGTATGAATCCTTGCAGTCACGAAAGCTTCAAATCTAGAAAGACAAGAAGCCTCCTGAGGACTGAAGAGCCCTGCCAAGGGTCGGCTCCAGCTTGTTTACCAGTGAAGATTCAAGCTTCACTCACGGTAGACCTGTAGATTAACCAGTGAGCGGCGTATTAGATTGGAGAGTAACTTCCAGAGGTGGGACAAAGTCATTGTTATGCAAGTCCAAGTCGAGTCTGAAGTCATCAAATTCATGACTCGAGTCCAAGTCACATGACTCGAGTCCACACCTCTGGTAACTTCCATAGTGTATCGGGTGTGAGGGGCCGTTACCCCTCTCTGTGTTAATTGTTAATTGTTAATAAAACTGTGTTGCCTCGGAGAAGTTCCCTTCTAGTCATTAAACCCACGACACCTATATAAAGCCACAACAGCAGATCATTATTTCTCACCTGATGACGGACGCTTGTGTTGCGACCGAAACGTCGTGTTTCTTTTATTTATTTTTTCTACCTACGTGACTTTACCGAAAGAACCCGAGTATGGATTCCTGCAGTCACGAAAGCTTCAAATCAAGACTAAAAATAATACAATTTAAATAAAAATAATAATACAAATAATAAATTGAAAATAATAAAAGCAACAAACCACAATAAAATAAGAAAATGAAAATTGTAAAATTAAATTAAAATAAAATGAAAATAATAAAAGCAAAAAGCCCACGACGTTTCGATCGCAACACAAGCGGTCTTCATCAGGCGGAGAGAAAAGAGGGGGCAAGCCCATATGTCGCTGCTTCTGAGGCGCTCTGAGGGCTCCAGAGTGGGCGGGGACGAGCGCTGCCCATGCAGCTCGCTCCTGCAGGAGCAAAGCAAAGTGGGAGTTGGGAGGAGGCGAGCTTTGTTTTGCTCCAAGGGTCATGGCCCTTGACCTACTACACCCATTTCAAACCTTGAACAACAGCCTGCTTCAGCAGCTTTACCCCTCTTTTTTCTCCTGATGACGATTGCTTGTGCTGCGATCGAAACGTGATATTTTTTATTATTTTTTATATGACGTGACTTTACCGAAAGACCCAAAGAATATATTTAATTTTATTTTACTATTTTTTATTGTGGTTATTTGCTTTTATTATTTTCAACTTTTTTTTTTCTATATACGTGACTTTACCTAAAGAACCAAGAATATGAATTCCTGCAGTCAGGAAAGTTTAAAGTCATTGTTTTGAGTCTGTTGCAGAACTGGCTTAGACTCAGGGACGAATTCCGACAATCAGCCGTAGCGTGTTCCAGCTCTTTGGGCCGGAGACTCGGAGACTGCGCTGGCCGCAAGGCACGAGGCGGACAGGCAGCGGGCACAGCAGCAGCAGGTCGCCGCGAGCTGTGGATCGTAGTCGGAGTCGGTTTGGGTCTGTTGGAGCTGGTAGACACTGGTCGGCGAGATAGGACGGAGCAGATTGATGGAGACTCTGGAAGACGATGAGGCACAATTTAAACGCAATCCTGTATTTAATAAGGACCCAGTGCAGCTCATCACAGATCAAGCTCGTGATGGGATCATGTTTCTGTTTCCTATCAGACAAGCTGCAGTATTCAACAGCGACTGGAGTGGCCGCAGGTGAACAGCGCTGGCACCGCAATTGTCCACGCGGCTGACGATGAATGCGTGGACGAGCATCCTCGCAGCCTGCACAGTCACTGCACACACAGAGAGCAGCACAGCGGGATGCTGCTGCTGCTGCGGCGGCGCAGTTGTCAACGTGGTAGAAGCTCCGTCCAGTGGGGCGCCTGATGCGAGTTCGCTGTCGACAAGGGCACCAAGCCATGTTGCCTTGTCCCACACTGGGATGTCACAGCCACCTTTGTGGATCGACTCACAGTTGACTCGAGCAAGCTGATGGTGGGTTCCAAGCACGATGAATTTAGTCTTTTCGAGTTTAGCTTCAGAAGGTTTGATGTCATCCAGCTTAACGACACATTTATATTTATGCGATCTAACCCAATACACTTTTATTACGGCCTTGACATAATATCTGATGAAATTCACATTCCACAAGACA